TAACATCACCTCTTTTATGGACAACGTTGCTGTTTTATTGAGTCAGAAAGTAGTCAAATATGAACAGCTTCCAGAACAAAGGACTTACTTTTTTATCCCTGATTATAGTCAAACCCCTTGTTAATCACAAAGCTCTCATTTGTTTTGTCATGGGATGTCACACAGGTGCAATGCACAAGTTTGTTATACAAACATGTGACACATAATCAGAATTGTAAACTAGGTAGTCAGTTTAGTAGAAAAAGCAGTGAGTACTGCAAGGGAACACTTCATGTTATGTTGGCAAATTGCTCTCAAGTGATTGTACTGGTCAGCAGATTTGAACAGGACAGACTGTTGGAAAATGTTCTGACAATTAATCTGAGACCATCTCTCTTGCCTGGTGCTAGAAGTTTGTTTAAAAAACAGTTTCAAAGTTATTGGTTCTCCATTAGGTCTCCTATGCTTTTTAACAGATGATAAAATGGTTAATATCATATTGTTTATCTTTCATGTCCCCTACTGCCATGGTAATCTGGTCTTTGTCATGGTTTTATCAAAAAAGGGTCATAATTACACATGTTAATATGATCTTCACAGTCTGTATGAGTAGCTGTAATGGAAATATTGCCCTGTTAGTGCATCACCTGCCGTAATTTTCTTAGAAGTATGCATTTCTGTGTCTATTCTGTTTTGACAACATATTCTCAGCCCTATAGCTAAATCTTAGCCTTTGACTGTTGAATTTCCTTTTGAAATTAGCGTTTTTGCAGTTCTATGTGATGTTCCACTGTTGTTAACTCTATTTATTCTCATCCAGCAGGTCTGAAAATTTGTGGGTTAATATAATAAATATAACTTTGTAGTCTTTGACATATGGATTTCTTAATACCTGAAGTTTGCTCAGACATTTGTTTACATAATCAAATCTGCAGAAATCTGATTTTCCCAGCAGAATCATTCAAAAATTTTCTGTATTCAGTTTCAATGGATTATCTTTGGAAGTAAATTAAAAACAAAAACCACAACTTGCATCAGTGCCGTCATTTATTTTTTCATGTTGAAGTAATAAAAAAGTCTCAGTGAATAAGTATAGTTACATTTGATAATGATTCAGGGTTGATTAGTAAACTGAAGACAACTGTTGCCTGCTGAGACACTGCATGCACCGTCCACCTCCCAAGAACAGCTCTAGCTCACAGCCATTTTGCATGGAAGCAGCTCAAACTGGTTCACACAGCTGTGGGAATCGACCTTCCTAAAAAATCCCGCAGAACTGGGATAACTTGTATGAGTGAGACTCAAATTTTGGGAGCTTTCCATGGACAGAGCTCTGCGATACCTCTTAGGATAGATTAGCCCTTATCAGAACCCTGAGGCACAGGTTCCTCTGTTCTTCTTTAGTAGGAAATCTTTACCCTCTCTTTTTCCTTCTTTCCAACTGTTTTTTTTTCTGAAATGCCTAAGTTTAGCCAGAGTTCAAGTAGTCTGCACTGCAGCTACAGTAGTGTGTATGGAGTCATCAGCAGAAAAATCCTCAGTATAGTGAATGCTAAAAATTTGGGGACCATGTAAAATCAGTGTAAATAATATTAAAATGGAAAACCTCACAGAAGTCTACAACAGTGGTTGTGTCATTCATTGCATCTAATTTTTTAAGGGCCTCCACAGTGAAAGGACATAAAATGTCAAGAACTTCTGGATTGCAGAGCATAAAGTGTTTACACAATCAAAGGATTTTTTCCTTAGGACGACTTAGGTCCTTTTTCTTGAACGGGCAATTGTCTTCTTTATCATTTCTTACTTTAACAGCTGCTAACAGAAGAGAAATATTTAAATTATGGCACACAAAAAAATTACCTCAGAAGAAGAGTTAATGGATGTAAAGGATGTGCAAATAGAAGCATTGGAAATGCTTCTACTCTCACATTTATAAGCACGAATGCTCTTCCTTTTCTTTCCTTCATTCCCAATTTCATTTGCTCTGTAGATTTAATAGCTCTTTTAATCTCAGAAAAATGCAATGTATGACGAGCTTATTTTAACCTTTAGGGACTATTAAAGAAATGTATGCCTAATACCTCACGCAAAGGCGTCTCCGTCTCCTGACGAAACATCACGATGCATAGTAGGAAAATAAGAGGAGAAATAATATGGAAGACATAAGTTTCTGGCAGAACTCGCACAAGACGATTGCGTTTTGGCAACAATTAGTCTGGTTTGTTGTTTCAACAGCAGTTTGTAAGATCCAGTCCAAGCAGAGCAGGGCCTCTCCTGCATGGTCCCCAAGTGAGAACAGCCTTCAGCAAACTCCCTAGTTCTCAGGGATCTCTCTTATTCCTTGCCTACGAGTCCACGGAAGTCTGCAACTAGCTGAGAGAGCATCCTGGACACCCAGTTTGGCTGCACCAGCTGAAAACAGTCATCAGATCACCTAAATGTGGATTGAGGTTAACACAAAGACCCTAGGAGTCCATCAGCTCCTCAGCCAGTGGTGTGGAGCGGGTACAACAGAGGACCTGCCTCAGAGGACTTTGTTTCCTGTCAATAGGCTTCCAGACCCAGAATAATCAGATGGAAATAGCATCAGTTACTACTGAATAAACACACAAGGGGAAAGATCAAAATGACACTCAACTTGTCCTGAAATGAGGTTGCTGAGGAGGAGAAGTCTAGAAAGGGTATGTAGATGGGTAGAAAGAGGTGGATCATGGGAGAGTTTTAAAGAGGTCTCCTTGTAGAAAGCTGCATATGCAAGTTCAGCTGTATCAGGGCCCATGAAAAAACCTGTGAAAATTGGCTTAAACTCTGCTGTTTAACTTCCTGAAGGCATTAAATGCTGAATCATCAGATCTGCTCTAGAGTGAACCATCAGAGCAGCAGGAAGCACTGCTGCGGCCAGTGTAAGACATGTATGATCTGAACACCTAGCCAGGGCCTCCTGCACACTAGGCTGGGCCAAGAAGAATAGATCATTATAGTCTGAAGTAAACAAACGGGAAAAAAAGAATGGAATACAAGTGGCTCAAAACCTACGCTTTTTGCTATTAGATATACTATATAGATTGTAAAAACTTTTTGGTAAAAGTGCTTAAGTATATTTTATCCTAATGTACTGTGTGTTTTCTACTTCAATTTCATGCCTAAATCGATAGGTAATTATAATTTGACAAGAAAAAACAATTTCAATGGGTATGATCTACCTGCTCTGTTGCTAAATTGTAATGTGGTTGGCTGGCTTTACAGTGTTTCTATAGTTTGTCTACACCATTTCCAGAGTCACTGTAAGAATCAGGAAATAAATTTCTGGCCAATCATTTCAACACCATGCAGAATTGTTACAGAAGCTCTTCGTCTGTGGCTGATGGAAGAGGAAAGGTTTTGATGTCTAATTGTTGACACTCATTTGTCCAGGATTTGAACAGCTTCCACCTCCAGTCTTACAACTAGATGCAGATTAGGAAAACTTTCTCCAGGACCATGGTCATTTTAGGCAATGACTATTAAAGCAATGTATCCTTAAATAATCTGAGAGTGCAACTGCCATCACAAATAACATCCATGTCCTCTCTAGGCCTATCACACAAACTTACATGCTCCCCACAAACACATATGAGAGAGGTTTTCTCCCCACCCTGCAAATCAGTTAAGAAATGGACAACTGGATATGTAAAAAATTATCTTCTTTGATTTTCGTGCTAACCAGTCATTAAAGGGTTACTTTTCAGAGCAGCACAAAAAAAGAAGAGCTGGTTGACCAAACATTTTTTTTTTCTTACAAAGAAGTGTCAACCCTGAGCTTGTAATTAAGAAGTTAAAATCTGTGATTTATATATATTTATATATATAAAAATAGATGATCATACTAAGACTAAAAAAGTGAAAGAAATCTCCATGTCAGTACTATATATTTGTTTGTTCTGAAATTTTGCGGAAGAAATCCTTGTAATACTGAAATTAATTGACACGAAAGATGTAGTTAGATATGAAACACACTATCGATCCGGTCGCTGTTAGTCCATTAGAGAATTTCCATCTTGGTAGGATAATGAACATAGTAGCAGAAAGTCCTAATCGATGTCAGAACAGTGACAAAAGGAAAGAGATTATGTCACAAGAGATTATTTTCTGTCCGAACCCTTGAGGGGAGATTTGTCAGGACCGTTGTTTCGCGTTACCGCCACGGCTGATGGTGAGCTAAGTGGAAATCTGTGCCAATTGTATAACATGGATAAATACTAAAAGAAGCTAGGTGAAATCGTGCTACTACTCATTTTTTTACTGGGCATTAAGATTTAAATCCTAAACAACCGTAACATGATATTCTGAAGCTAGTGGAGTTACTATCATACTAAAAGATAAACTTATTTTTCAGCTGCTCTACCTTCATACCAATCTGATGTGGTTGGCAGATGGAGCGCAAGACATTCACCTTTGAGACATATGTTTGTGTTGGAAAAGAAATCCAGATTTCCTCCTTAGAGCAATGATCATTCTGATGACCTGAATCATCCTATGGAAGTTCCTAAAGGAAACCTGGCTGTTAGTGAAGAACGGATGCATTCTTTTTTTGTTCCTTTCTTGTCTTTTTTGTTTCATTGATATTCTGTTGAAATGCAGCAGCCTTGAGTCAGGCCTGATTCAGAAAGAAAACTGTTTTCTTGGTTTCTTCCCCCCTCTTTTTTCTTGTTAGGGAAAAACACACACTGTAAGATCCTTTTTTACTTTTGCAGCATAAAAGGAAACGAAGCTCAGAAAGTCTCCCATAATAAAGGTTTGAGAAAGAACTCTCTCAAGAGTGGATATCGTCTTCAGAGATATCTGAAAGAAGCAGGAAGCAGTTCAGTCTGGCACCTGGTACTCTTTGGGAAAACAAAAAAGGGAAGCAGGTTGCAGTACTGCTCTCTTCTCGTAGAAAACTGCAAGTGTTTGTGGCATGGTCCATTGTCCAAGAGTATAAGAAAAGAAGAAAGTTGGCTGTTTCTGTAGCTAAAACACAGTTTCTCTGATGAGATCCAGGATTATCTCCACTGTCTCTGCAGGACGAGACTGATGAAGACGATGAGCAACGTCTGCAGTGACTGGCCAGGCTGCGCGGCTGAAGCCTCCACCTCTCTTCTGTCAGAATCGACTGGCGGAGCTTCAGTGGTGATGAAATCGAACTCAGTGGGACAGATGTCGTCCGTACAGCCGCTTCCGCTGCCCGAGCCGCTGGTTTCATCACCTGGCACAAAGGAGAGAGAGTAACAACACGAGGGCCACGAGTGACAGTGTTCGTCCCTTTTCTCCATTCCCCTTCCACCTGGCACCGTGGTGGGGATGACACCTTGGGAACAGGAGAGTGGCGGTGGTGCTATTTTTCATTCAGTAAAGCATCCAAAGGAAAACCACCATGATTCTATTAGGTGCTCAAATGCCCTTCTGAAAAAGGAGTGGTCTGCTGACATTACAGAAAGCTCTCAGTGTCTTGATGCATTTGACATGAACACAAGCAAGAGAAGCAAAACTGGAATTTCATGGGACAGAAAAAGACTTTTTTTATGTTGCCAGCAGCACAGAGCACAGAGACCAAAGAAAGCTATTCTAAGGGAAGAGGTTTATAAATGTGTTTCAAAAATATACTTATTTAATGACTTCTTACTTGTATCCTGGAAGTTGACATCATTTCCATTATATGCGTTCTTCAGTTTGTTAGTCATGACACGTAAAGCCATAATTTGTTGTCGAATGAAGGTGTCTGGCCTTGTGATGTCCACATCTACTTCCGGATTGTTGATCTGGTTGGTCAAGCCATCGTTCATAATCTCAGGCAAATATCTATATAGCAGGATGAATGATTAGTTTAAAATGTAATAAGTTTCAGAAATAAAAGACTACAGTAAATGCCAGGCTAAGCAATTTTACACTGATAACAATTACACAGTTCTTAAACAGCTCCAGTGAAACCATTTTAAAAATATGGTTTTTAATTTTACAAACACAAAAGGGTCTTTTCAGTAGCTTAGCTGCATGGAGAGCAGAAAGGATTTAAGCTCTTCAACCTCCTAACTCTCTACATACGCCCCAGCAAGTGCACTGGCTCTATGAACCATGGAAGAGGTTCACTAGCCAGCAGTAAGTCACTGCATGTTCAGATCCTCTACTAATAGGAATGATTGCACACTAAATTAAACATCTAACAGTGCATTCCTCTGTTTTTATTTATTTCTCTTTAAAAATTATGGACTCTTTTGTTATAGTTAGTTTAGAAGGCTATCTTGAGGCATTATGACTCTCCTTGTTTAAAGGAAGCACTTATTTAATTTTCTTCTCCAGTTCTTCCTTGCATCCCTTTTTTGGCCACTGTGAACAACATCTCCAGCCCATCTGACATCCAGGCCCATAAACAGCGTTGTGAGTTTACCAGACTCCAGTGTTCTCTTTGATTTGGTCCTTATTCCTTACAAACAGGCTATACTTGCATCTCCCATGTGCTTTGTGCATAACATATTTAAGGTACGACATTTCCTATCCATCCATACGTCTGATTTTTTTCATTCAGGCTCTTAGCTTATAATTTCTTCATTACTGCAGCATTCCCTTCTCTGACCTTGGCAAAGGAGGCTACTCACAGGCAGCAAGCGTGCTTTCGCGGGTATCTCTCCCCTACAAAAATCAGCCCATGCCTCCGATCATCCTGTGGTAAAAGTCTTCACCACCTTTTGATAAATACACACTTTGTCCGCTGCTGCTCCTTGTTCTTAGGAAACTCTCCTATGTACCTCTGCAAAACTACCTTTTTTCCTGCTTTGAATTTCTGTTAAAAATTATCTATGCATTTTACAGCTGCTAGTCTGATAAAGGGCTGACATTATTTCTCTGTGCTGGCACGGTATCCCCAGAAAATAGTGTATCACTGCTTCCCTGTTCTCCCTCATCTGTATTTACCTACTGTCTTTTTCTCATATTTAGACTGCAGGGGATCTGGGGAGATCTACCCTTTGTTCATGTTCTTTGTCAGGATGTGATCTATTTCGTAATTAGTTTGCATACCAGGCTATCCTACTGATGTTTGTGGAACTCCTCGTGTGGGTATGTGCTCAGGCAGTAATGACAGCACAGTCTAGCTTACTAATGGTGCCTGGTACCAAATATAGTTTAAGAGTATTTTACTTCACTCTCACTTGTGCCAGCCTGATTCTCGATCAACATTCACATTTGGCGCTGGTGCCAGTGTTATGTTCATATTGGTCTAGAAAATAAATATATCCCTTAAGAATAAACATGAAAGCAAGGGAGAAGAAAGGACTTTCTCTGCTGAAGTCATGGTTAAGGAAAGACAAGTTTTGTATTGCTTCTGGAAGTTCACAAAATGATGACTGCTTTGCTGCAACAGGGAAGAGTTTAGGCTCATTGTAACAGGTACTTGCTTTGCAAGATGAGACTCATTTGTCATCAGTGGCCTTTGAAAGATTACATGAGAATAATCCTGGGGGAGTGTGAACACATAAGAACAAAACATGGGTGCCAAAAATATCCAGCCTCAAACTGAAAGTCCTGTTGTTTCACTAGTACCATAACAAGAAATAACAATACTGTAGGGACCCCATCCAGGCTCCTGTGGTACAGGCTTAACTACAGTGAGAATACAGATCCACCTCCCCCAGTACAGAGGACTGCAGACCACAGTGTCATGAATCACCAAAGATAGAAATTGGAAATAATTCTGCAGAGCTGCCTGGAGGCAGCAGGACAGAGACCTTGGCATGCAGGGAAGCTTTGGGCTGTAAGGGAACAGCACCTCCATCTGTCACACGTCTCTACAAATGAAATGGCTGCTGTAGATAAATTACTCAGCCTAGAAGTAAATCAGCGATTTCAAGGTGCAGTTGATTAAAAAAAGTGGGAATGTAAGAATTGCTCTACTGGCTCAGAGAGGATGTCCATCTTGCCCGGTATCTTGTCCACGACAATGGCCATATCTGTTAGCAGTTAGAAGTGATTTGAAGTCGCTGAGCGTTCCTGTGGATTGCTTTCCTCGTTTATGAAGGGTTAGCTGCTCTTTATTGCAAGCCATCCATGAGAAGCTGTGGCTAGCTCTGAACAGCAGTTCACAGCCTTTCTTTGGCCGATTTATGTTTGATTTCCTCTTGTCTTATCGTCAATAATAAAAGAAGAATGTACTGACTTCTTAGTAAGCTTTTCATACGGAGAGATTATGAGTTAGTTTGGAGATTTAAATAAGATAGAGAGTGCTCTGGAGTGTGCTGTTTACTGAGGTTCATATTCTGCCCTGCGATCAGCGTGGATCTGGTGTTCTTCTGAAGACCACCTAACTTTAAATGAGCCAGTTTGTTTAGTTGTAGGAAGTGATTTAGTCAAGCTGTCTCACCCTGCCTAGTATCTGTTGATCTCCAAAGGATTCCTGACATGGAGGAGTTGACGTCTCAGGAGAACGGTCCTCACCGTTCTTACTTGTCTCATTTCACCTAGATGTGTAAGGAAGCCATACTGGGTCACAAGAAATCCATTACCTTACGATTGCCTAAAGATTAGGTGGATGCTTAAATTCCCAGGCTAATAAGCCTCTTGGCATATAGGGCATAAGAGCAAAAGAATTAGAGAGGCTGAGGATTTTAGGTTTATACAGTATATAAACCCAAAACTTGTATATCTAAATGCAAGTGCCTGCATATGAGCAGAGTTCCACTCTCACCTGATCTAGTCAACACAAGATCTAGTCAAAACTAGTCAGAAATTTATTTGTTAATGGAGCGGGGACAGCTGCTGGAGACCTGCTTGCCTTTGGCCAGATGACTAGTTCATTAGATTTCATCTGCTGGGATTTAGTTTGCACAAACATAGACATCTGGTGCCATTTGAATGCTCTTGGTTATTCCTCGTCTTCTTGTTACTAGCCCTGAAAGGTGCGGCTTTCCCATCCTCTAAGTCCTGCATCATCTCTACAGGCTTGACGGGGAGATCTTGGGCATCTAAAATTATATTAGGTGTCTTTATTTAGGCAGCTGAATAGAATCTTGAGTGCCACTTTAGCCACCGGGGGACATACTGCTCAGTGTCCTGCTGCCACTTCAGTAGGGTTTGAACATTCTGTAGGTGCAGTGTCTTATTTGCCAGCTCCATGAAGGTGTATTGACTATGCAGATCATCTCACATATCAGTAGATAAGCATGTTTAGACTTCTGAAAACTGCCCCATTGAGTACACTGACAGGATACTGGGGCTGTTTTAACATCAGTGATTTTTAAAATGTTCTAGTTCTTGCCCATGCTCTGGTCCAGATGGGACCTAGTGTCCCATCAGACATGCCGAAGAGTCTCAAATGACACTACTCTCACTCAAGCAACACAAATGACTCTGTTTTGTCTCACTTGTAGGCATCTATACTTAAATGCATGAATTTCCATGTCCAAATGTGAAGCTGGATTCTGCCTTCATTACTGAACAAGTTCACCTGCTTCCTCAGGAAAAAAAAAAACCAACAAAACAAACAGGCAGAAAAGCGTATATTGAAGTAGATATCTTTGAGTTGTTTTCCTTTCCTGAAAGGATTGGTATAGATGTGGGAACATGAAGCCCAAGGTGCTTTGTGAGTGACAGCCTCTGAGAGGCAGCCCGGCGCATGCTCTGACAAAAGCATTTTGATGTGTGTGGGGTAGGGTTAAGTCACACCAAGTAGGAAGCCATGTCTTGGGACCGCTTTTGACAGAAGATTTGTTGCTGGCTGGGCAAAGTTGTTGAACACAGCTGCTTTTGCTGCAGTTCTGTAAGTAGAGACACCCCTGTGAATTTTAAGCTTTGCTGCTGCTTCTACTTTCGTTAATGATCTCTTTGTACGCCTGGCCGTTACAAGAACTGTATGCCCATTATAAACGAAAAGAAGTGCCAACCTGAATCAGTGTCTGTTCTTTGTATCCTCATAGCGAGAAAAAAAAAAAAGCTTTCTTAGCCCTCTGAGTATAGAGAAGATGAACAATACTGTTTGTTTTCTGCTGTTTGCTCCTTGCTCAGCTATGTCAGGATTTTAGTGTAATTTACATTGTTTTTTAAAATATTAATGCTTTCTGTTCCTCTTAGCCTTTCCACAGTTCTTGCTTGTCTCAGCAGACAATAACAAAGATGTCTTTTGGCACATCATAGTCAAGCACCACACAGCCTATTTAAAACCACTTTTTTTTTTTTTTTTTTTTTTTTAATATCCAGTTAACGTTCCAGAGTGTCTGCTTCCTTTTCAAGTCTAAAAATGACTGATAAATCTTTCAGGTCATTTATGTAAAGGCTGTGGCTATGAAAAAACAGCTCAAAAGGAGAAATCTTCTGTTTTTTTAAAAGACATTTGCCATAAAGGGCAGCGTTCTCCATATTTTGCTGCCGCAGCAGCTGCTTATAGTACGATTGGAGCATCCCACCTAGGCAGTACTGGAGTTTTTCCAGGTGCACAGAATTGTAGGCAATAGAGTACAAAATACAGCACAGGCTTATTCAGGCTGGGCTGGGGCTAGGCAGCCACATCTGGTCCACAAAGATAAGTGCAGTGGAAAATTGGCTTGTTTGGCTAACTAGATCACCTCATCTGATGCTGTTTGCTCAGGAGGTAATCCCTACAGGATATTTTCAGTTTGCTTTTTTATTTTTTTTTCCCTTCCATCTTGGAGAAAAGCTTGAGGAGACAGAAGGAGAGGGAGAAAACAGCTCATCTGCCAGTTGGTTGGAAGGACGAAGTTGAAAAAATAAATCAAAGCCATCAATTAAGTATAAGCACTTTTTGCACTTTTCAAGAAGTGGTTTATCCACGCTTTCAGTAGTGGTGCTGAATGGTTATCTTTGCCTCCAGGTAAAGATAATCTTTGCCTTTGTCCTCCAGGTAAAGGACATTCAACTCATTCTCATTGCAAGCCTTTCTGGGCAGCTATGAGCAGCTTTCCCAGGAAAGGCACTGCTCTGGTGAGTCTTTCTTCCCACCTGAATTTCATCAGGAATTAAAGGCTCTCTGCTGGGGAAGTAGGCACTCACCTGCCTATGGCAGGAGAAGAAGAAAATTTCAGGCCAGCTGAGACTCTATCCTGTGTTTGTTTTGGTGAAACACCTTGTAGTTTTGAGATGGACATTGAAAATTAGTGTTCATTTTCCCTTTTATTTTTTCCCTTTTTTTTCCCCTCTTTATCATTACTGTCTGTCTCATATATAATTCTATTTCTTCTTTATTGTACTCGGAGGAGTGACAGGTTCCTCATGAAAAGCCACGCATGTCTCATCTCTTCCATAGATCACAGCCTTCTGGCGCTCAGACATATTAGTAGGTCTGTAGTGCTGGTGAGCAGGAGCACCAGGATGATAGCGCATGAGCACAATGTCTCACATGGGTTGGTTGAAACAAATTGGCTGAGTTGGTTGGAGCATTTCAAGGTTCTTCTGATCACCAGAGAGGCTGTAGATTTGGTTACTGTTCTCACTCAGTAGAAGTCACTTATTCAAGGGCTAATACCTTGGATTCATTTTTTTAACTCCTAAAGCCTGAATTCCATCATTCCTGGGAAAATCCCTTAATTTCTGGAGCACAGTGAAAAGGTTATTAACCGTTGTTAAGAATTTATCTGCATATAGAGAAGGAGCTAAATTTCTGAAGTTTAGTCTTCATGAGATTTTTTAGATCCTAAACATCTTTAAAAAATCTGCCTCTGTGCATCTGGTAGAAGACATTAATTCTTTAAACACAAAATTATCTTCAAGTTCTTTTGTGAATACAGATATGATGAGGAAGTCCTGTTGGGCATCTCTCTAACAAGCACTTTGTCTGAACTAGCTATTACTCTTATTTTTAATATGTGTTTTTTTTTTTTTTTTAAAAAGAGATTCACCCACCTAATAAATGTTTTACCATTCCCACAGCACTTGGTTTCTACCTGATGTGGCCTGATTAAAAACATTCTTTGTACAGGATCAGCAACGAGCCAAGTGCACCCTTCCAGAACGCCAAATGGATGACTCTGTTACTCCATGATTATCCGCGAATTGGCGACCTTCATTTGGCGACCTGGTGTCACTGTAAATTAATCATGGTAGCAAAGTGATATCTGGGGAGTGCAATAACCACCAGCGAGCTTGGTGTAATGCCTCTCTCAGGAGAAAGCCTACCTTTCATTTTCTGTTATCTCAGATTTGTAACTCTTTTGCCCTGTAAAAACAGCATTGGAAGGTGATGCATAAAATGAAACATGAGGTGCAATGTCTATCTGGCAGTCCAAAGTTTCTAAGTCTTTATACTACCACAGGATCTGATCAAAACCCAGCAACAATATCCTTTCCCAACAGCGGCCAACACCATGATGTCTTCTTATTTATAGTATTAATGTCTAGGAAAACAGAAGGTGGCTACGTTTCCTTTTTTCCTATCATGAACTGTTGTAATATTATCTGGAATTCAAACTGCAACTTTTCATATAGCACAGGGGTGCTTATGATGAGTGACACAGTGAACACAAATACATATATGCATATTGGCCGGATTTTGCCACCATTGTTCTTGTGAATTAGCATTTATATCAGATACTAATCAGTGTGATCAAGGAAACATTTATGGTTTTTCTTTATGCTGCAGTGGATGTCCTTGTTCACCAGCCAAGAGGTGATTTTCCATCTAAAGATAGTAATTTCCAATAATATTTTCAATATTATTTCATATATAGGCCGTGGCTTTCTATGGTATCTCTCTGATTTATTACTTTTCTCTCCACCTGAAGCATTTATTGAATTCTGTTATTAAGACTATGACTATACATTTGCTTTGTGAAGGGATATGAAATAGAAACTGGACAGAGGAGCAGTGGTTGGGCCTGCTGAGACTGTATTTTCAGGTGATGCTTTGAAGCTGTGATTCCACATCCAGTGAAATATCTGTGTTAAATTAATCAAGGAGATTTATCAGCAGAAGATAGCTTTTCTCAATGGCTCCAGAACATTAATCTCAGAAGGCATCATGAAAATAACCAGGCTTCTCATAAGATAAATACTTGTCATGGTTTGATGTGTGTGGGGGGGGTGGTTCTGGTGGCAAAAGAAGGATGAAGAAACTACCTGCATAAAATGCACCTGCATAACTCCCAACAAATGTGGAAGTTTTGCGAGACCCTTCAGTGCAGGAGCAGAAGACAGCTGAAAAGTATTGACCAGACGTGTTACAAACACTAGAGTTGGTCATGGAAACCAGAAGGGATATTAGCAGTTTTGTTCAACTGCTCTTTTGTAGAAAGGGTAGCATATATCTCTTATTGATGCGTGCACCCTTATGTGACGCATGGCATCCAGCTGGGTCATATCTTACAAAACCCACCGACAAGAAAAGATATTATAAAGGAAGATAAAACCACGTTTTCATTTCTCTCTGCACACTATTCCCTTTTGATGAGTCCTGTAGCAGCCGGACACTCCTCCTAACTGTCTTTCTCAGAGTCTCCAAAGGCTTTCTCTGGATCTGGGACTTAGGAACTGAGCAGTGACCCATGCTTTTGGACAGATTTGTTCATATGCGTCTCAAAGTGGGTTTGGTGGGCTAGCAGCATCCCAAAGGGCCCTCTGGTCTCATCTGTGAAATGAATTCTTTTGAGCATTATGTAGTAAGGCTGGGAGAAAGGGCATGCATTCAGTGCGAAACCACCCCCTGTAAAGTGTGTGCCTTATAAAAATGCTGAGGTGATGGGGTGGGTGTAATCTATTTATCTGTCTGTCCATCCATCCATAAAAAATGACATTTAATAGGTTTTTGAGTTTTTTCCCCTGTTGTCTTACTTTCACTGAGTTTTTATATTCTATGCGCTTGTCTCACTTTTTTAGATTCTTTTTATTCACTTGTTTTTGGTTTTGTTGGGTTTTTTTGTATGTTTGTTTGTGGGGTTTTTTTTTTTGTTACCAGTTCATTTTTTTATTCTGGCTTCATTTGTATCATCAGGTAAAAGGAAAATAAAGATTCCAGTCCCTGAGTGCCAGAAAGTATCACTGCTCTCCAGATTCAGCACTCACGAGACACTCCAATCTCTCCTCTCCTCTCCTCCTGTCTCCCCAAAAGCCCAGGCTACCGCTGCAGACTTGAAACCTGACTGCCCCTGGTGTGTCCTTGAGCCAATTCCTCTCTCCTTCTCAGCAGGGATAATCGATCCTCTCCTCTATCAGCTGGTGAAGCCACACTGGGACCTTTGGAGACACCTGCTCATCTGCCAGCACTAGCCCTGCCACAGCCAGCGCCAAGCAAACTTCAAAATTAAAACTTACAGAAAACTCATCACCAACACAGGCAGATGACCACAGTACCTCTGATGAAGTAACATAAGGTCAAGCCTTCTACATGAGATAAGTAGGAGTATTACATTTGTTCGCTGCTGGCTATTTTTCATTCCCCATTGTCCCCCAGCAAACAGCCCTGAGCTTTGCCAGCCAATAGTAAATGGAGCCAAAATTCCAATTTCTATTTCATCCTGGTATGGTATCCCGAGAGTGCAATTGCTTCACAAGCTGTCAGTCCCAACACAGGGATGCTAAATGGAGCTAAAGAGCTCTTTGAAATCTCGGTATAAATTATCCTTCTGGAGCTGAACCAACGAACATTTTCTGTGTCCACATGCTGACACGCTGTGCACATTTACCCTGGCTCACGCTCGGGCTTTAACGGTTCCTCGACAGTAAGTAATCATCTCGGCTACAAGCTGCATGTGGGCAATTACTTGTTCTCCCCATTTCCGTTTCACTCTTACAAACAGTGCTGTGAGATGCCCTCGGTTTCGTGATTGCTTCAGGCCGGATGGGGATTTGGACCGAGCGTGGTGGAGAGGGGTCCACCTCACCTCGCCTTGGTGTGGCCGTTCCAGCAGTCCTCCTCAATCGATGGACCAGCTGTCACTCGCTCATCCTTGCAGATTATGTAGGGTAATGTTGACCAGAACTTTTTAGAGAGCTTTAGCTTTTCTTTAATGTCTGTTACCTGATTAAGAGACAACAGGGAGAGGGAAAACAGGTTAAAAACATCAGTCGTGCTATTGGGTTAAATAATAGGTTGTTTAATTCTGTAATGGTGATGATGGTGAAGGTTAAAAGAGCTGAAGGTGCTAAAACTTAAATTCTTGTATTTACGAGTAATGCACTCAGCATTTGCGTCCGGAGAGTACAAGTAATCAAAGTCACCCTTTTCCACAGGCAAGACATTAATAAAAAGTGTGCTACATCTTGCTCTTTCTAGTCTCCATTTGTCTAAAGTTTTCTGAATATACATCTTTCTAAGAATTAATGTCTCAGTCTGCTGAATTTAAATTCAGTTAAACAGTGTACATCAGATAAAATGTCTCACCCACCAACTTTGTCATGCCTCAGATAAATATTATATTCAGAGGTTTTAGAAAAATTATGCAGTGCTAAGGTGATGTTGAACTAGTTTATGATGAAAAGACTGAATACATCGTGGTACATTTGGATCTCAGTAACAGTGAGAAGTCTGTGTATATACATACACACAGAGACTATACCCATCTTTGCTGTTAGGTGTAAATAAATATCTGTAGCTGGATACAGACTTCATGTTCAAGAAATGTTGGGACAGTATCAAAACAGTTTCTTTACATTATAAACTTCTTGAACAATAATTTGATTTGGCATGATTCAGGCAGCAAGCAGGAACAAACTGAATTTCCAGCATCAACTTAATAAATAAATGGCTAAAATGTTATCAGTTCTTGTTTTGCTTTTGGTTTACTAGAGTGGAAAAATCTACAAGAATAGATAGAAAACACAACAAAGGACAGACTACAAAGGATGAATGATGCCACTGTTGTTCTTATGGAAACAGATGCATTTCACATTAAATTGTAATAGGATTTAGGAGAGCTCGTTGAATAGCTTTCAAAGGAAATCGCTGAGCTTTATCCTTTAAAAAACCACAAAATAAAAGCTCTCCATTCTTCCATTCAGCTTTGAGATTGGCTTTTAGGTTGTTGAGGTACAATATTGTACTTGGCTATTTATCTCTTTTATCTTTTGTTCTGAAGACATGATAGCTCTTCGAGCAAATGGCCCACGCTGCTTTGCTGTGCTTAAACTCTGCAGAATGTCACTTCATAAGCCAGGAGATAGAAACAGCCAAGGATGTTATTTCAGAAGCACTGTCCACGTTTTCATCCATAAGAAATAAGTAGGACAATATTTGGCTGCATGAGCTGTTGACGGTGTTCTTGCTGTGACAGACACCTTATAAACCTCCTTCGTGCTCCTTGCCGAGCCCTAGTTGCCTTGTTTTCATATGAGATACTAGCAGCATTTGCAAGCCTTTGAAGTCTCTATAGGAGAACCCTGTCAAGCCAAAAATTAAATTCCAGTTTACAGACTGCAGACAAGCCTTCAGCAGAAGCGGGGTGGTCTCAGGATGCCTGGTCTTTCTGATGTCTTTGGTCCATTGGGCCAGGGTCTTTGGGCAGTCAGCAGCCTCCCCTCTTCCCCTTCCACCCATGCTGGAAGTGAAAACCCCAGGGTACTTACTGGTACAGCTAACCAGCATGAGAAACTCGGTTGCACTGCCCGGTGTTCACAAAGAGGTGTGTAAACTCCTGTTAGGCCACAGGGCAGTAAATCAGATAGAGAAATTCTATCTAAAATGCAGGGAGGAGGGTCCATTTTTATAAACCTGGGGAACACGAGAGCCAAGGGGACAGATTTTCTCATTTATTGCCTGTGCCTGCGTAACTACACAAGCAATATGATTGATACCAGTGGTGAGTAATTAGTTTTCAGAGCAGCAACTTTGTCACTATCTGGAAGGTATTTTAAGCTATTCAAAACTCAGATTTTATATGTATGTGAGAGAAAAAAGAAAAACGAGAGAGAATGTGGGGCCTCTCCAGAAGGATATGGGTGACCTGGTTACTGAGGACATGGAGAAGGCTGAAATATTCAACAACTTTTTTGCCTCAGTCTTCACTGGCAACCACTCGAACCACATCACCCAAATCACAGAGGATGTTATCTGGGTCTGGGAGAGTGAAGAACCACCCAGGGTAGGAGAAGATCAGGTCCAGGAACACCTAGAGAACCTGAAGGTGCACAAGTCCATGGGACCTGATGAGATACATCCACAGGTCCTGAAGGAACTGGCAGCTGAAGTTGCTAGGCCACTAGCCATCACATTTGAGAGGTCCTGGCAGTCTGGTGAAGTTCCTACAGATTGGAAGAGGGCAAACATAACCCCCATCTTTAAAAAAGGGACCAAGGACAACCCGAGAAACTACAGACCAGTCATCCTTACCTCTGTGCCAGGTAAAATTATGGAACAGATTCTCCTGGTAGCTGTACTAAGGCACATAAAAAATAACCAAGTGGTTGGTGACAGTCAACATGGCTTCACTAGGGGCAAGTTGTGCCTGACTAATTTAGTGGCCTTCTATGACAAAGCTACAGCGCTGGTTGACGTGGGTAAAGCAACGGATGTTGTTTTCCTGGACTTGTGCAAGGCGTTTGACACTGTCCCACATGACATCCTTGTCTCTAAAACAGAGAGACACGGGTTTGACAGATGGACCACTCGGTGGATAAAGAACTGGCTGGATGATCGCAATCAAAGAGTTGTGGTCAATGGCGCAATGTCTACATGGAGACCAGTGTCAAGCGGTGTCCCTCAGGGGTCTGTTCTGGGTCCAGTGCTGTTCAACATCTTTGTCAGTGACATGGATGACGGCACTGAGTGCACCCTCAGTAAGTTTGCTGATGACACCAAGTTGTGTGGTGCCGTGGACTCACTTGAGGGAAGAGATGCCATCCAGAAGGACCTTGATAGGCTTGAGAAATGGGCCAGTGCAAACTGCATGAGCTTCAAAAAGTCAAAATGCAAGCTCCTTCACCTGGGTCGGGCCAATCCTAGGCACAAATACAAACTGGGCAAAGAGTGGGTTGAGAGTAGCCCTGAAGAGAAGGATTTGGGGGTGTTTATAGATGAGAAGCTCAACATGAGCTGGCAGTGCGCTCATGCGGCCCAGAAGGCCAACTGCATCCTGGGATGTATCAAGAGAAGCGTGGTCAGCAGGTTGAGAGACGTAATTCTCCCCCTTTACTCTGCTCTTGTGAGACCCCACCTTGAATACTGCATCCAGTTCTGGTGTCCCCACCATAAGAGAGACATAGATCTGTTGGAGCGTGTTCAGAGGAGGGCCACAAAGATGATCCAGGGGCTGGAGCACCTCTGCTATGAGGACAGGTTGCGGGAGCTGGGATTGTTCAGCCTTGAAAAGAGAAGACTTCGGGGGGACCTAATAGCTGCCTTCCAATACCTGAAGGGAACCTACAGGAAGGCTGGGGAGGGACTTTTTGCAAGTGTCCACTGATAGGACAAGGGGAAATGGGTTTAAGTTGAAGGAGAACAGATTTAGATTAGATTTTAGGAAGAAATTCTTCAGTATGAGGGTGGTGAGACTTTGGAATAAATTGCCCAGAGAAGTTGTGGATGGCCCCTCTCTGGGGGGGTTCAAGGCAGGCCAAGTTGGACAGAGCCTTGAGTAGCCTGATCTAGTTGAGAGGCATCCCTGCCCATGACAGGGAGGCTGGATTAGATAATCTCTAAGGTGCCTTCCAGCCTATGCCATTCTATTATTCTATGATTCTATGTTTAGAGTCATATTCAAGTTTCTACCATAATCGAATTAGAGATGGTGCTCTAGGACTGCAGACTTCTGTTTTGAACCACGAGTGAGTCAACACTCATTGGAAAGTGATTTCCCCCTGTGGCTCTTGTAAGGGCTGTAATTTGGAGTGCAAATCTTGTATTTTCATAGAAGTCAGCAAAACAATGGAGAGAGGTTCTCACAGCCCACACACTGCACATACTCCCTGAAAATCAAAATGAGGACTCCCATTCCCCATATCTGAAGATGTTAAATGATGTTTACATACTCTACATGTGTACTGCATATCAACAACAAATCATTAAATTTCCTAACTATAAATATATATATATATTTTTTTTTTTGCATTTCAGAAGTGCACCTGGCAAAGTAAGATGGCCTTAGTTTATCCAGGATTGTTGGTAAATGACAGCTAATTAAATCTCACAGACATCCCCCTGAAGTGTCATTCTTATTTTAGAGCCTGGAGGGAAAGGAGACATTTACATGACTCACAAAAAGCAGAAATGACTGCAGTTTAGGGAAAAGGTACCATTTGCAGTGCTCTCTAGGTGCCTCCAATTCAGGTGCATTTTAACACTTTTTATCCTTCTCAGATATTTCCCTTCATAGCTATCCCCCCCTCCTCATTGCATGTTTTCATGAGTTTTAAACAACTTGTAGACTCAGATTCAGCCTTCGAAGTTTTGCTCTTTCCTGCTGTGTGACCCGATCCCTGTTAACCCTTTCAGCTTTTGGCAGTGGAGTTTACACGCCTACCTAAACAGTTCCTTGAACCTCACCCTGAAACTCGTTTTCTGGAAGTGCTGTGTGGTTTCTGACGGCCTTGAAAGAGGAATTAGGAAGACCGATTGACTCACCTCCTCTTTCAGGGAGTAGCCTGATGGCCATGTTTGCTTCTGCACGATGAACGTTCGGGCAGGCAACGACTTTGGAGTACTTTTAGTGTAACTTTAAATGCAGAACAGAATTAGATGGTGTAATACCTGCCATGACATGTAAAACTTTTGCCTGTGGGTTTCAGTGGCTTCAGTTGTCAGATCTCCTCAAGCATGTCCACAGAAAGTCTCTTATTAGTCCCCATGGTTACACATGTTCCTCTGTACATTGTTTTGGTCACTGCCAGCATTTAAAAAATATGTAACAGATGTACAGTCCCTTGAAAATGAGATAAAAGCCACTAAGGACTTGCTTGTGATTTACGAAGTCAGACTACTGCATCCCTCTAGTGACCTGTGGCCTTGTAAATGATTCTTCGACATTTCCTATCCTTTGAATTAAAGATTAACTTTCAAGCTTGGTTAGACTTTTGTGGAAACATTTAAACATGAGACGTATGCAATTTTGATATTTTGCATACTTCCTTTCCACTTTCTCTAGCAGAGATTTATTTGGATTAAGAAAGCCAGATCTCTTTGGCTGCAGTGAGCCTGACTTTCCCTAACTATCTTCCTGACGTAGCCCTGATATATTATATTGAACTGCCTTTTTTTAGCTGCTTTGAAGGTACTAAATTTGTTCTGAATTGCAATACTTCCTCTCTCATAAGAAAAAGGATATAGCAAAAGCCACACAAAAAGTTAAATTTTTAATTCATTGGGAGATATATAGAAATTGATATTAAAATAGCCTGGCCTTCATCTATAATTGCTAACAGAAGAAAGGCATTACTGTGTAGGTCAGAAAAGTTAAATATTTGCATCATTTCCAAAGAGAAATTCATGTCCAGAGTTATGGAAATTGTATAGTTGCATGCCCTACATTGGCAAATACAGTTCATTTCCTATTTCTGTCACTACTGTCATGCAATTCCTCAGCAGAACTTGGGACAGCACCCATGAGCTTAGCTCCAGTCCTACCAGCATGGGCTCAGTTAGAAGCAGGTAAACAAAGCTGACCAACATTTCTGTCTTCTTTACTCACCTTGCACTCCGAGGTAATGAAGCAAGCTAAAAAGCAAGCCCATCATTTTAGCAGGAATCAGGCCTTAGCATTCCTTGTTTTAATTCAGGACATCTGGATAAATCAAAAGACTCACTAGGGTAACTCAAAAAAGCATTGAAAACACCATGCAAAACTAAAAGTGAGATGATTACATTTTATAAGGCATGAAAGATCCCATGAAGACACTTGCATGTGAAGTGGGCAGCCACTTGCCCATGGAATCCACTTTGGTTTAACTTCTGATGGAAACACGCTTCTTTGGCAGGGGAATGATGTGCGCTTAGAAGCAATGGGGGCCAAAAAGCAAATTTTAAAGGTGGAGGCCCTAAAATAATTTTAAAAAGTAAATTCCCTTTTTACCTCCTCCTCCCCTGCCAAGTCCATCTTGTAGCCCTTCCAGATTTATCACCCCCACCAATATAATCCCTACTCTTGCAGATAGAGGAATATCAGAAGATGCTAAAATAGTGTGCACAGATGGTGGAAAGTGTCCAAAACTGACCCAGGTTCGATGCAATAAATTAAATAAAATAATACAAAGTCTTGCTGTGTTAAGAAGAAATGGTTCTCATTAACCTTCTTTTATTCTTCCTGATGTTTTTGCACTGCATTTTTTTTCATGTTCATTCTGCAATTTGGGGAGATTTTCCTTTTGAAATGCAAGCAGAGCCTTCAGCTTGCCTTTCTGTCAATGCCTTCTCCCTGAGGGTGCTCAGAAACATCCCAATGCAAAGTATCCTCAAGAGTTAGGCCTTTACGCCCTGGAAAAACATACAAAAGTTTCTGGCTGCTGACTGGACGTTGCTTCTCTGGTGTACCAGGGTGCCACTGGGGATGTCGTACCACGGGTTGGTACGTGGTGGTGTCACCACTTGGAAGATGTTTCAAGTAGGTGCTCATGACAAGGCACTGTAATTTCAGGGACTTCAGGCTGGGTATGTAAAGTGTGTCTTACTGGTGTGTTGCACTAACAGAACAGCTACAGATAGCGAGTAGAAAGAGGCTTGGGGTTTTGTCTTAGAGAAAAGACATAAAAAGAGCCATCACAAGCCACGTTCGTTTCTGTGTAGTTTCTTCAGTTACATACTCCTTTGCCCTTTAATTCACAAGCAACATTTAACGCCACTTCTCCATGCTACATTATTTCCAGGTGAAAAACCAGACAAGTTTTCTACTGCCTGCTGCTTGCTTTACCGTAGACGTGTCTAACGCACCCAGCCACGCACCCAGCACCCTTGCAGTCTTTATTAAAAATGATGTAGAGCTTGATAATAGATTTACGGATACGGCGCTTGACCACCTGAGCCGTGCGTGGGATCGTGAAGAGCGTGCCCTTCGTCGTGGGCATGTCCAGGCAGGGAGAATGGTCTGATCTGTTACGCCGTACCAGCATAACAGAAAACTGTGCCGGACTTCCATACATCGATCAGTATTTATGTCCATTAGGGATTTAATCTGAAAGCTTTCTAAGACTAATGGCCAACAATTTGTTTAAAAGGACTAGGTCGACAAGCACGTATCATGTGCATTCTAACTGCTCGCTGTGTTTACGCCTCTCCTACAGGTGGGTGTCACAGTCAGGGCAAGAATCATATGCCACAAGCAGGTATTTCGTACAATCATATGTCACACAGCTGGGTATTTTAATTGACACACAGTTTTCCTTGTAAACTGGGCTTAATGAAAAGTGGTTAACTCGGACCCCTAAGTTTCAGGGGCTGCCCCTCGACAAAGACTTGTCTCTTGTATGTCCTTTGCTACATCTGCCAGCTTCATATAGATGTCTCGGAGGCACTAGGCACTTATGTATAAGCAACTGAACTGGGCTTTCTCTATCTCAGCCAGGTGTGTGAATTTAGCTAAAGAGGATTTCTGTCTCAGAGGTTTTTTTTTTAAGGCATCATTGTTTCTCCACTGATTAGATACGGGGAGCTTAGGTGCATATTTTGTTTACAACAGCTCATTAGGTGCCCAAAATTTCAATGCACATTAGGTACCTCAGCGAGGACGACCTGCTTTGATTTGGAACAAGCAGAGCAAAACATTTGCTCTATTCGGAGATTATTTTTTCACCCATTGTACGTTTCCACACCTTCTCATGAAATAAATTTGAACGCCAAGCAGTCGCCGAACCACCACGTGCTTTACCAGGGGTTACTTTTCAGCCTGTTAAAAAAGTGAAGAGCACAGGGCACGGATCTGGCAGGGTTCGA